TTTTTATGTTGTCTCAGTCGAAGTCGCTGCTAAAAGCAAACGTAACGAAATGACAAATGAAATTGAAAATATATTTTTTAGGTCTTCTAGACGATGCTCCAACTGATCTCAGCTACAGACAAAGTACTAGCCTAGACTAAAGGATTTTGTTGGCTATTTCGTTTTTTAATTAAAAAAAATCTTTTGGGCTGTTAAATTTTTAGCCAATTTGTATCTTAAGGTTTTCATGAGCTCTACTAAATTTTATATATAGTTGTCGAATATCGTCTTTGAATATTCGTGAACATTTTATCAGACAAATATCCATGGCTTTTTCATTCATTTTACTCAATAAAAAAGCAAACTTTGTACAATCATGAAATATTTATTTTATGACACAAAAACGTAAAAAAATCCTTTTAAGATTATCCTTTTCATAATCCAACTTTAACAAAAGTAAAAAATCTTTTAAATCTAAAATTCTAAGTGTCAATGATTCTGAAGTCAATTGAATTGCTGTATGAGCTCGAATTTCAAATCTTTTTATTCATTAGCTACCATGCTACATATATATTACCTATAATAATAGTCGTAGTAACAGCTAACTCCCAAACAAAGCTTAAGAAATCTCTGTTAAAGATCCCATAAAAAATTCAATAAAAATCTAACTCAGACCTTTAAGTCAAACAAAGTGATTCACTCGAAGTCCCAAAAAGCAAAAATTAAGATAGGCGAAAATGTGTGAAAACGAATCTTCACACTTTTTGAACAATTTCCAGTTCCAGTTTCCAGTTTCCAGTTAATATGGGAAGTACAAAGCCCCCCAATTAGTGTCTCATAAATGGAATTCAGAAATCCATCAACAAAATATCGAATATTAAAAGTCGAATCAAAGACTCAATGCTTGAATGGTAGCAAATCCTTTCAAGTGAACTGGAGCACATGTTGTGCTCGAACAGGACATCGACAGGACATCGAAGCCAATGATTTACTAGGGGGCTGTAAATTTGTTCGGCGGGCATTTGAAAGTCAAGATTCGAACATAAAATCTGTGTATAGATCATCATCGGAGGCTGTAAAACTTTAAGTGCATGCATGCAGTCGAATTCATTCACAGAGAATCATAAAAATCGTAAAATGAAAACAAATCCTGTAACTAGAACAGAGTGGGTGCAGGACGTGCCTGGAAGTTTCGGTTAACTGGAATACTAGGAAGCCGGACTGCACAGTCAAGCATTGTCCTTCTGCTAGTGTTTATGACTACCGAATGTTGAACGAGTAGCCAAGATGTCCTTGCCACTTGCTGAGCACCAACTGTGCTAGCTGTGCATCTGTATGGGACATTTGCCTCATGCCAAGACGTCCTGCGGGACCTCAACTCTGTTTGCTTGCCACGCAAATTTAGCATGAAGGAGTGAAAACAGTTTCCCAATTGTCCTGCTAGTATACTCTTGCTATGTGTGTGTGTGACTGTGTGTGTTAGCTTCCTAATTTTCACTTGACCTGCTGCAGTAGAAGCAGTCAATCAGTCATGTGCCTCACCTAGGGATTGTTCAATATTGAACTTGTCTGCCCAATCTGTTTGTTTTGCTTACCAGTTGCAGCTACTGCGGCTACGATTGAGATTTGAATACTTGTGAATATTCACATGAGTGCGGCTTTTGTTGACAGTTGTCCAACAGATTTTGATTGATCATTAAGCGGAACTTCATTATAATATAGAATTTGCCGATAGAAACGACTAACGGTTGCTTTTCTTTTGACATAGTCGAAAGAGATTGTCTAGACATTATTCAAGATTCAAGCGAAAAATATTGTGTATTTCTATCGTATTAATTTTAGCGTGTGGCCAAAAAAAAAAAAAATCTGAGCTAACAGCTTACATTTTATTGATCCTAAACGAATGTGGAATTTGTAAGCTAAATGTTTCTAATGTAACAAATTGAACACAAAAAGTTTCAAGTTTCATTTACAAATAATAAATATTTGTTAAGATTATTATTAGAAATTTTTAGCTATATTAAAAATCTATCATACTTATATTGGGAACCTATATTGGGTCTCGAACTACTAGGTTGATCTGCAGGATGACTTGAAGTATTTTGGATACCAAATAGCATAAGGCTGAACATTAAGCATCTGGCGTATAACCGCAAGCTCACTGAACAATATGCTTCGATTATGACTGATTCATAACTATGCTTTTATGTAGCGTCTGCACGTGCTCAACTTTAATTTGAGTTCGACAAAGCAAACAACGCTCGCCGAAGTCAACTTCCAGGCTACAAATAATTTACGTAACTGCGACAGGACGTCAGTTTAGAGTGCCACAAGGCCCACCTTCCCAAATGGAACTTCCGTTCAAAGAATACTTATCGCCTACTTCGCTTGCCTTGGGACCTGCGTCCACGCTTGAGGAGTTCCAATAATTGAAAACTGTCAATGGGCAAATTAGAAAATTTGTCATGTTTATCGTGACCAAGTTTGTGGTCTACTTTACAAGTATATTTTTCTGCTTCTGGCAGGCACAATTAATAGTCAGCTCGGCATGTCCTGTGGCTCATTTGCATTGGCAGTCGGAGCGCAGATGAGGCATGCGACTGCATTCAAGTGCCCGAGCGACTCTTCCTGGCATTGCACAACGCTTCATTAGCATCGAATTTTATGCTGATTAGCGCTGAGAGTGTTTCGAGGATGCAGGACCTCAGCTGAACTCACTTCAGCTGCAGCTTGTAAGTCCAGGCATCGGCTATTTTTACAGCCTGACGGGCTCATTCCGCTCAATTCCATTTTCATTTCAATTTCAATTTGAATTTCAATTTGTATATAGAGCACATTTGCATTTGGCCTGCTGCCACACACGTACACTTACGTTTACTCACATACACACACACACACACACATTCGTGCAACGGCCATTTTTGTGTGCTGGTTGTATTGGTTTTTGCTTTGGCCAGATGCAGGCGGCGTGTGTTCGCATATGCGTCTCCTTAATATGCGTAAACTTCACGCTTAATTCTTTATATTATGATGATGTCCTTTCGCTGCTTTTTGGCTTTTGTTTTCAATTTTCGGTTTTCGGTTTTTGGTTTTACAATTTTTCAAAAACTCCATTTGGCAGTTTTGTAGACCAGGTGTGTCTAGCTCTATGTGCCTGCATATCTCCCTCTCTCTCTATCTCTCTCTCCTTTCCTCTTTGTATCCTTTATCGAAATCGACTGCAATTAATGTCTGTTGATAGATTTTTATGTTTGTATATCGGTAAATGACTTTGCAGCTGAGGGTTGAAATGGAAACCCCCTCTCGACATATGTACAGCAAAACTCGTTAGGAGGTTGTCTAGCTTAGGAAAGTGCTTAAAAGTGAGCGCGATTTCTATAATTAACTTCAGAAATAACAGACTAAGCCCAACTGCCACTATATCTGTAAAGATACACCTACTACGTCTGTTCACAATCAAATTTAAAATATTTATGCATCTTGCTTTACAAGCTAGTTTCATATAAATTGGAGAGTAAAAATGAATTTTGACCTCAGTTGAAACGCCATTAAATTGTTCAACACTCATAATTCATATGGCAAGTTAACATGCTAACGAAACAACAAACAGAAAACTATCTTGGCTTGTTAGATAAACAGCATCTCCACCGAATGATGTCTGTGCAAACACACACAGGAGGGTGGTCGTAAATAGGCATGAACGGCCATTGTGCAGCAGGATAAGTCAAGCCAAGCCCAAAGGAACCCCCATAAAACTTGACGATGACAAACAACAAAACGGGCTATGAGGCCTCGCGTCTATGATACTACTTGGACCTTGCCCAACTAACAGCCCAGAAAAATCGCAAATGAACAGCAACAGGAACTGCCAAGAAGAGTGAAGACTACATGACCAAGTCGAAAATTAAATACCCTAGCAATTATGATTTTTAATAATTTACACTAAATATCTGAGCATTTATATGATAAAAATATCTGAAGAGTAAAGCTGACTTAATTGCAAGTTTTCATAGCATAACTCAATGCTTGAATGTTAATTAGCATATTAATAATTATCAGATAATTCTCTGAAGCAACTTTAAGCATTAGACGGATCTAATATAATTATAGTTCAATAATTTATCAATTATTGATCTAGAATTGAAGATATCAAGAGCTCGAATTCTATTAAGCGTTACATACAGATTGACAAATTTATGTTACCTTTAGCAAGAGTATAAAAATGGCATAAATAAACACACATACACACATAGCCAGGACCGTGGGTGCTGAAATGCCAACCGGAACGATTGATAATATAATGCGCAAGAGGTAAAAACGGTGGCCATGAGTCCTGTCCCGTTCTGTTCTCTTCTGCTCTGTCCTGTGCCGTCGGCAGCCTTCACGCTTTAATTGGCTGCCGGCGACAAAAGTCATATATTGTGCACAAAAGTGTCACACACAAGGACAACAACAACAACAACACACACGTACACACGCACACACACTGCGAGCAGCAGCCATGACAGGACTAGTGACAGCTGCACAGATCGCTGATGATGTCGCCGCGTGGCAAAGACGGGCGGACGCGTCGGGGGGATGTTTCTTTGATTGTGCGATTGTTGTTGATATCAAAGCGCAGAGCGCGAACCGCCCCACAGCGAGTAGCCAATCAGCGTGCGCAGCCGGCTCGCAGGCCTACGCCCCTGCCTCGATTAAAGCGCAGAGCAAGCGAGAACGCGCACACGCGCGCTCTCTCTCATCGCGCTGTCTCGCTCACGTTGTGTGCTGAGACCGGGCAACCGTTTTTGATCGTTGCCATATTGTGGCGCCAGGCAACAAAAGGGCGGACGCGAAAGCTGCGCGCAGCTCTCTCTCACTCTCTCCCTCTCTGCGTATTTGTGTGTGAGTGTGTGATTCGTGTGCTTGTATTGCTATTGGGAAACCAGTTTATGGCCGCGATCTCATTGTCGGCCGCATTCGCCGCCCGGCGTCGCCTTCGTTAATTTATGCCTTTAGTTGCTTTGCAAGTCTCGTGCTGTTTGATCGTTCCAAGCGCGCGCAATTCCAAGAAACGTCACGAAGTTCGCTTTGCGAAAAACAAAAAAACAACTCGCGCTTCCTTCCGTCGGACATCGCGTGCGCGCAACTCTTATTTACTGTTATCAGCGGGCCAAGCTGCAGTGATTGGCTTTTCGACCAATAGAGTCATGTGAATTGTGCATTGTTCCTTGTGCTCCCACTTCTTCTTCTACTTATTCAACGTGTTGTGCGTGCAATTGCTTCTGCCCAGTTCCGCGCCTGGTCTGTGCGCCATCTGCCAAACGTAGTTCCTAAGTTAATTCATAAGTAAAACACAGTAAAAATCAAAATGGATATGTCCAGCGCCAACTCCTTGCGGCCGCTCTTTACTGGTTATCCTTTTCAGGGTAAGTCTGGGGCGCAAAGGTCATCAGTCGAAAGGATATAGCTCTTCAAATATTAAATTTCTATTCTAATTTTTTGAAGATGTTAATTTACATTTGATAGGATATTTCAAAGAAGTTGGATCTTAATATAGAATTTCCTAGTTTCAGAATGTATAAGAAATCCTTTATATATATATCCTCTATATATAATCGAATCTCTACTAAAAAATTGAGTAATAAAATCAAATATTGCAATATGCACATTATTATAATTAAAATATCTATATTTAATAAAATTTTACTCCTGGATTCTTGATTAAGATCCCTCATACTTTAGAATTAGAAATCAAAAACTCAATACTTCCTTAATAACATTGTAAAACGATATACATTTGATATTGACTTTGTAATATTTGATCGCTTGAGGTGTGCAAATGAACTATAAGACATCCCATTTCAGGCCAGGGACGCGTCAATCAGCTGGGCGGCGTCTTCATCAACGGTCGCCCACTGCCCAACCACATACGCCTGAAGATAGTTGAAATGGCGGCCAGCGGAGTAAGGCCCTGTGTGATATCGCGACAGCTACGAGTTTCGCATGGCTGTGTGTCCAAGATACTGAATCGCTACCAGGAGACGGGCTCTATTCGGCCGGGCGTGATTGGCGGCTCCAAGCCGAAGGTGACTTCGCCGGAGATCGAGGGACGAATCGATGAGCTGCGCAAGGAAAATCCCGGCATATTTAGCTGGGAGATACGCGAGAAACTGATGAAGGTGAGTGCGCAGTGGGTGCTCCTCGCTCGCTCTGTCTCTACGGCTTGCTGCACCTGCGCAGGAAGCAATAAAATGTGAGGACACAAATGGCATACGGATTTGCAGTAGCTCTCTAACCGCATAGCATTATGTCCATTCAGTTCGGCTAACACAAACGCGGCTTACTTCCGTTTTCCGAAAAGTCACGTGGCACACTCGGGTCGACGATCATAGAATCGGGTGCAGGTCCGGCCTACACGCCCGCCCGCTGGCTTTGTTTATGGCACGTTACCATCTCTTTCGGCCCTTTGCATATGCCCTGTCCTTCCGCCTTTCGGTCTATCTGTGTGCCATTTGGCCATTTGGCACAGTTGACACGATGGCCAGTTGACAAATTTGTTGTACAACGGCGACGACAAATTTTAGCAAGATGCCACCCAAAGCGTTAAGAAATCGATTAAAGCATAAAAGTCGGCAAAACGCCAACGGGCTTCATCTTGGCCGCCTTTTTGTTGTTGTGCGGCGACTGCGACTCTGTCTTATCCTTGAGGCCAGCAAGCTGCAACACAGCGCAATATGTTTATTTTTTTGTGTGTTTGTTTAGTTTTTTTCATTGTTTTTATGTTTTGTATGCAGCCCTGTGGCAAGCGCTTCTAACTTCCGGTTTGACAAGCATCTTAGCATGGGGCAAACGGCCAGGTTATAGCGTGGGCCAATGCAGCAGTTCGTGTTGCACCTAACGGCACAGGGAACACTGAGCGAAATAGAGATCACTTGAAAGTTAATATATTATGATCGAACTTGGAGCTGAAAGGATATGTGTAGGTGTATCGAGTTCAAATAGGAAGTACGATTGATAGCTATACAATTATTTAATATTATAATCTTCTCTCATATGTAAACATTAATAAGCTCAAATAAAATTAAATATACGTGGGTTATATAGATTATATAGCCAAAATCTTGGATATTCTACATAAAATATCTTCAAAAAGAGAGTTCAATCTGTATTAAAACTTTCAATGCCGAAGGATCTAGTTTACATTGAAAGGAGCAGGGGACCGTCATAGTACTCTTGGATTACGTACTGTATTCAACTCCGAGCTTATATACAAGGCGTACTGTCCTATTCAGCCTGTCTTTGTCTAAGTAAATTCTCTTCAATTTTAAGCACATTTGAAGTGAAGATTTCAATATCTTAAATTGAGCGTAAGTCAAAAATATCTAAAAGAGCAATAGGAATATATTCCTATTACCATATTCTACTCTTGATTTGAAATTTAGAATTTGATGTTTCTATGTGGTATTCAATTATTTACTTTATCCCAGCTGACATGGCAGATGAATTTCAATAATGAAAAAAATATTCAAAGGCCACCATAGTATGATATTTAGGCCCTCTGCCTAATGATTTAGTTAATTTACCACCTTGCCTTGTCACACTTAATTTTCTTTCAGTGTGTATTATCTTACTTTAATTCAAGTCATTTCAGTTGAAATTGCGACAAAAACAGACATTTTCCCATATGTCAGTTTACTCCCTCTCTCACAGACACACGTCCAATTCGAAGCAAAGAGACGTTGTCATTATTTTTAGCACAAATTAGCGTGAAAAATATAAATATAAATTTTGGCACATAAAAAAGTAAAAGAGAAACAGAATAAAAACAAAGCGTGGAAAAAGCCTTGAAGCGGGTTTTCGAAACAGATTTCTGAACCTACGCCAATGTTGTTTGCTCAGGGACTGGCAGACCGAGTGTCTCGTGCTGCCTACTGATCAGATGCGACTCCCTTGCGCTTGCCTCACTCTTCCATTGCCCCTCTTTGCTGCTCTTTGCTCTTTATTTGAAGCCGCAATTAGTTACAGTTTATGTGGGGATACCGATTCGAGCGGCCATCGATGCGATCGGTCGAAGATATTGCAAACCGCCAAACAGCAAAAGGCACACGATCAGTTGCATCATTCGTCGAATGTATCTGTTAGCTGTGCATCTGTATCTGTAGCTCTCACTCTCTCTCTCTCTCTCTCTATCGCTCTCTCCATCTATGGCTGGCAGTAGGCGTAAAAAGTGCCTCCAGGTGCGCTTCACGCTTAATTAGAATACGCCATCGGCATCTCATGCTGTCCCTCATGATCGTCGGTAAGATCGCAGCCTGATCTTAAGTCGCTTGCTTTGTGGTTAGAGGCAATTGTGGTTGCCGCCTGTTCGTGATTGATTCAGGTGGTATTTATTGCATAAATCAATTGATTAATCGCCAGTAACGAATGCCTGATCGCAAAGATCACTTGAGCAGTGCAATTAAGTTTTTTATGCTGCAAACTCAACTAACAGTGTTCCCACATGCATTCTAAGCAGATGCCAGATAGAAAGTATGCATAGAAATGAATATATACTAAGTTCTAAGTCTGAAAAACAAGCTATGCAAAATATTTAAGCCATGTTTATCAATATGCACCCAAGATTTCCGAGAAATTCAGCTATAAAGCCTCTTAACTCATACCCAATTGGAACTTTGGGCATCACACCTGTCACTCAAATAAAAGGAGAAGTTTCGAGGTAGAAAAATAACGCATATGTATATATATATATATATATATATATACATATCAATGTATATATATATTTAAAGCGCACTCAAGTGTCAATCCGACTGTCAACTAATTAATTAAATTTCAATTGAATTTGTGTAGCCAGAAATCAAAGAGGTAACAAAATAAAATATGAATATAAGAAGAGGAAAAAGGTGTCGCACAGTCGGGGGGCTGGAGTCTGGAGCTGGGGGCGCGGCAGCCAGTTGTCAGTTGCTACAAGATAAGCTGTCACACATTCCAGCTGGCAACTGGTAGAAGCTGTCGGGTAGACCGGAGCCAACCAAGTGCCTTGAGGCATAAAAAACGCAACAAAAGTCTAGTTGAAAATCAAAACATATTTCAATCGTTGTTGCTGTTGCTGTTGTTGCTGCAACAGTTGCTGCTGTTGCTGGTGTTGCTGCTGCTGTTGTTGTTGTCATATTCATGACACTTTCAATAGAAATAAGAGCCAGTAGCCAGAGCCAGTGGAGCAGCTAACCAGACAGCAGGCAGTGTGTAGCTCAGCTCTCCCCCTTCCTACAGCTGGACAAAATGTCAGTTTCCAACTTTGAGTTGGCTCTAAGCGGCGTCTGGGCCATGTCTATGAGGTGCCAGTTGTGGCACCTCAGCTATTACCTGCTCATAATTTTCATGTTACTGCTTATTATTAATCACAAGCAGAGAGTGAGAGAGACAGAGAGGGGGAGAAAAAAGTGTTTGCGGCACATGCCACTCCATTTGAGACGCTGACGCTGGGTCAGTTTTTTAAGCAGCTCCAACTCCAACTCCAACTACAACTACAACTGCAACTTCAACTCCAGCTGCAGCTCCAGAGATCAGACAGCGATTAGCTGGGAGCTGCACTCTCGACGTGTTGCTCTAATGAAAACTGACAGTTTTCGTTTTGCATTGCATGAGAAATTGGTTTGGATTTTATACGTTTTCTGTTATGATTTGATTTCGATTTCAAGTTTCGCGGGAATTACGTGAAAAAGTGTTGTCGTTGCCTAAGCGCCATTAGGTTTCAAATTCAAATCAATTTGAAAAAAGCTCTGAACATTAAGATATATGTAATTACGACAGTTTCTAGTTTTATGTTTTAAGCTACGAAGATTAGAGAGAGATATAGATACGCTGTGACTTTGCAGAATAATATAGTAAAGATAGTAATATAATATAGTCTAGTAATATAGTAAAGACGGTAAAGATATAGGACAACATATGTTCTATATTACTCTAACGTAAAGGAAATCAACTTTTAAATAAATAAATTTATTTAGCTAGAGTTTGTTTATATACAAAAAGTTTCTTTTGTTTAAATAAATCTTTTGTTAAAATAAATCTTTAAAATATCTATGCCTTATCAAGACAGTCTTAAATAAATAGGAATATTAAATAATATTTCTATATATTTTGTTGCATCAACTGCAAAGCTAAGTGCATTATGATTTACAGCTCAGAATTGTCAACAAAACACGTGACATTCGCAGACAAATTCTGAAGCCCTGCTCGGCTTGACATTTCTTCTAATTGGATTACAACACAGAGAGCTACCAAGAGAAAGAGATGGAGTGAAAGAGAGGGATAAAGAGAGAGAGTAGACTAGAGATAAAAAATGTGTCCAAACAGCAGCAAGTGGGCAGCTGCCCAGCAACTGGGGAATTAATGTCACTGCGCCAAGTGCATTCGTAAATCCTCGGCCCATTTCGACGAGCTGAGTGCCTAACGCTCGTATAATTAATGGGCCCCAACCGGTAGCCCACAAATATTTATGCGGCTTGGGCTTATCTTAATTGGATTTGTGTGCTTGATTTGCCACGATTTCGAGTGCTCATTTAGATACCAGATACCAGATATCAAATACAAATACATCAACGATCCATTTACACGATCTTTCACATTGATAAAGTCTGCTTTTCTCTATTTCAGGAAGGCTTTGCTGATGCGCCGTCGACTTCATCGATCAGTCGACTGCTGAGGGGCAACGATCGCAGCAGCGAAGATGGACGCAAGGACTATACGATCCATGGCATACTGGGCGGTAAGTGTTCAGCTATAATGGACACGAATAGCATATCCATTTCATATATATACATACTGTTGTATGCCACATTCCGTGCTACGAAAATTAGTGATCATTTATTTGATATGTTTGATGTAATTTCGTAAAATCATTCCCAAATCATTTGTTGCTCAAATCAACAAAGTTGATGTCGGCAATGGCTCTTTGATCGTCTTAGAACGAGCGACTTAAACTTAAATCAAAGCCGCTCAAAATATTACAATAGATCTCTGGCCTATACGATAACGATCGTTGGTTCGATCGCTTGTTCGGTCGGTTGTTCGTTTCGTTGTGTTGGCAATACAAACGGCCCAAAATAGGTGTAGATGATGACACCTGAGAATCAAAAGTACACGAGATTCCAGATTCCATCTCTCTACCTATTGCACAGCTAATAACCCGGTTTTCCAATTGCCTTGCGTGAGACCTCGACTCTGACTCCGACACCGACTTCGACTTCGACTTCGACTCTGACTCTGACTCTGACACTGACTCCTACTCCGCTCTCTGGACGGGGCCAATAATCATGCTAAATATGCAAAGTCATTCGATAAACGATCGGCGGGGGTCAAAGCGTTCCCCTTTCTAGGTTTACGACTTTCTGACTTCAAATTGACTAGAAAATTGTCTGTTTCGTCTGCCTGTATTGTTGCTGTTGCTATTACTGTTGCTGTTGCTGTTGCCGTTGCATCATTAGAGGCAGGTTTTCACTGTACTTTAGCCGACATTTGAATGTTTTCCCTCTTTGCCAATTGTCCAGTTTGCCGACGGCCTCTCTGATATTTGCCGAGCCATTTCTGTCACAACACAAACACCTCTTACAAAGGCTCAGTGGGTGACAGTAGAACACGTTGCCAGGGCTGTCACCTTGACTTTGGATGCCATTAGATGGCTTCAATGCTTGCGGCTTGCATTTGCTGAATGAATGTTTATGATCTTTTGGGAGTTTCCCAACCTTGAGCAAAAAGAAAGCAACTGTTTTTATTTTCCGCTCTGTCGACATTGAACAAATAGACATTTACTCTGCTTGTGCCTCTGGCATGCTGTGCGACAAGTCATGTATGAAATGTATGCATATAAAAAATGTCACTAAGATATATCAAGTTTTTTAAAATGTAAGTTAAAAATAATATCAAAATATTACAAATAGGATTTATCACGATATAAGCTTGAAACCTGGAGCAGTTTCTTAACTTTTGGCATCTCTATGCTCAATTATTTATCTCATTCCTACGACATTTTTATATGCAGAACAATCTCGCACTTTAATCGTTTATCCGTGCCCTCTCAGCACCTGTATGCCTAACCCATTTAGCCAGCCTCCAAATGGTGGCTCCAATCGTACAAATGCCAATTACTAAACATAATCTATATAAATTCAAGGCAAGAGCTATCATTATACTGTCGAAGCGTATAATAAGCACACGCCTTCCCATCATCATTGCCATTCCCGAACTCCAAGCGAACAGAGCTCAGGCTTCAAGTCCCATACCAATTCCCTTTAGTTCGTAATGATGCATCCGTCATTATGTTCACCTGGTCAGCTCGACCTCATCCTGGGACTCACAATCAGAATGCAATCGGAACAACATTCACAAAGACACATTCACCATTCACGGTGGTGAGCCTGTGGCCAAGCATCCGACCTGATCGGGAGTCCGAGTCGGTGCCTTTGCCTGTAATCAACGCCTTCTTTGGTACGGCTGCAGCAGGGGCTAAGCGGGGCTCTCAAACAAAAAATTATGCATTATTAAATATATATTTCTTCGTCTCGTATTTCACTTATAATTTCGTTTGATTTTGATTTTGTACAATTTATACAATGCGGGGTCCCAGAGCCCCAACCGTTGACCAGATGCTACATTGTCGCTGACTGTGTTTAGCGGCGGTTCGCTTTGATCTTTCGTACACACAGCCAAAGCGGCCAAAAGATGTGGAAAATCAAATAATAACTGAATAAAAACACTCACACACACATACACACAACATTTCAGAAGACATTTGTGTGGGGCCTGCAGCTGACCGCGGCGAAGGGCCAGCTACTGGAGCTCTTGGTGACAACAAAAATATATATAAAACTTGGGGCAGGGGGAAGTCCGTAAATGTATCAAAAGATATTATTGAGCAGTTTCCATTTGTATATGCCGACACGCATTGCAGCTGAAGATAACCAATTAAAATTGCATTAAACTAGACGCAATATTATTTAATAGTTTATAGAAGAAGTATTACGATATATGTAAGATGTTTCTTGGTATATATAATTGGAATCACGTCATTTGTAAGCCAATGAAACTGCGTACAAATGTAGATAATAATAAAGAAAACTGAACACATTGTCGCAGCTATAAGATATATATATTCTTGATCAGAATCCGTATTGCTCTGCGTAGAGTCTTACAATTCTTCATAGAATGCATTTATTTTCTTCGAGATCTTCCGTAATATTCGTGAGATCGATAAATATCGATTTTCAGACTTGGAGTTTTGAACTTGGCACGACAGCTAGGGAAATCAAATAGAATTAAATTTAATATATACTATTTGCAGGCATTCGTAGTAGCTGCCTTGATCAAAGGCATCTGTTCCACGAACTAAGCCGCTTGATAAATATCCAATTGCCACGCCCTCGTGTGGTAGTTGCAACAAAGTTGCCGCTAAATGTTGCAACGCCCACGCTAAACGCGGTCAACAATAGATCGGAGTCTAAACGATGCCGACCTTCTGTCTGAAAAATACGCGTGCGATTTGTATTATTTGGCGTGATAATGGACCAACCCATGTCAGATCAAGGCCCACTCAAAGGAAAGCAACACAAACACAAACAGAAACACAAAATCAAATGCCAAAACACCGACAAAATTCAAAAAGTCAAAAAAGAAAAAATAGAAAACAAGAAACGAACACAAAAAACACTTGTGGTAATTAGTGTTAAGGATAAAGGAGCATTGCCTAGAGCAAGGAGGCCGACAGGACCACGCGTGGGAATGGCCAAAGGCTATTTACCAAATATTTGAGACGGCCAGACAATGCGGCAACAATTGTGCCGCAGAGGCTCGGGCCGAGCTAGAACACCGAAACAAATACAAACAGGTTCAATTATTTGCAAAAAAATCAAAGAGAGAAAGGTAGATCGAAGATAAAAGCCAGACAAAGAGAGAGAGCTCAAACTGGCGATGGCCGCAGAAGACAAACGGTCGCCGATCGCAAAGACTCAAAGAGTAGTTCACACCTACTCTAATACTGACAAGAGAGAGAGAGGGAGAGAGAGTGCAGGGAGCTAAAGAGAGAGAGAGCGAGATTGCTGCATTCTTGCAGTGTCACATGACAAATGGGTGTAAGAGAGATGATTGCGCAAAAATATCCTGCTCCTTTTCCAGAGCGCATATGTGTGCGGTCCCTCAGAGAGCTGTGATCGTGCCCTCGATCATGCATATGGTCTGCGGCTCTTGTGGCTCATTTGTTCGAGCAGTTCGGGCACCCATTAAAATCGTTCATGCCCGAAAAAAGTGTCAACGTAACAAAAGCAGCGCCTCGACTTCAAATGCACCGATCTTCGTCGGCGTCTTTAATGCCCACCAGGGTGTCCTGGGTCGATCCGTTTGATCTCATTGTTGGGACGGTATTCTGTTTTCTTGCTCGATGCACCGCTGCGCGGCTCGTTCGTGTTGATGAGTTACAAAATATTTTATTAACGTATTATCACACTTTAGCCAAGCGAGCCCGAGTAGCTGTTCCTCTCTTTCTATAGCTATCTGTGTATCTTTCTCTGCATTTGTATCTGTATCTGTCGCTGTCTGTGTTGTCTGCTCATCTTTGGGGGATTTGTTTTGATCAAGTGCTTGTTCGCATTGTTATTTAAATTAGTTTCATTTCATTCTGAAAGATCAACTGCATCTGCATTTGGATCTGGATCTTCGGGGGGTGCTGGCTCCGCACAATCGGCTTGGCTCGGCTCGACTTGGCTCGGTGCGTCTCTTTTGCCGCCGGATTATGATTATAACTAATTTTTGGTCTCTGCTCCATCTTTTTGCCGCTGTCTGTTAACAATTTTGTAAATTAGTTTAAATGTGCATCCTCCCATTTGTATTTGATAAGCGGACTGAAGACTGCGAGGGCGTTGATAGAGCATAAATTTTGGTTACTTTATGCTTAATATATTCGGTAGAAGCATTTAAATAAATATTTGTTATATAATTATCCGCTGTCTGATTAGCTGGGCGGTCAGTTTTTAGAACTTGTAATTTAGCCTGAAGAATTAAAAAAAAATAGAATTTAACTGAGGCTTTGGTTAATGAAGTTTTGAGCTAAAGTTCTCAATTTTGTTCTTGAGCTGTGTAAATTATTGATTAAATACATTTGTCTGGCTCAATGTTAAAAATATTTTCTCGATCATTCACACGATTTTCAAGCTCCCTGCATAAAGTTACAATTAAAAGTTTCAACTAAATAAAATCATATATATATATATATATATATATATATATGTATTTATAAGGTTTATATATATACATTTTTAATGCTCCTGTAATCCTTTTGCTGACAAGAATCTTAAGCCTTAAAACATAACCGAAACAGCGCACGCCGACAGAAGACCCCGAAAGTGCCCAAATCCCAAATCTGGCTGCTGACAGAGCCCTCGCGTGTCGCCACAGTTCTCCTCGTCTCTTACGGCTGACAGCTGACAGTGGCCTTCAGCTCAGTGGTGTCCACTAATAAAAAGTGTCAAAGCCCAGGGCAATGAGTTGGATACAACAAATTTCATTTACTTAGGTTTACTCCTATATAAATATATATATATATATATATAAATATAGATACATATATATGTATATATATATATATATCTGTATACATATATTTATACAGATCTCTTGCTGGGGCATTTCAATTGCAGCCCAAAATTTGATATTAGATGCAGGCAATTTAAATCGTGTCAGATTCGTGTTGATTGATGACTATAGCATCTCGTCTATGGGGCTGGGCCTTGCTTGCGCTCGATCTTTTGACCCTTTGGACACAAAAGTGTGCCCTGTGACTGTCCATCAAGAGTGGCTGCCTTGGCCACACAGCAGCTGCCTCTGCCTCCTGCTCCATTGCTCCACCATTTACTACCTGCTGTTTATATTTTTGGAAAATGCAGTTCGAAACGTCGTTGAAAATGATCGATACCCCGCACGGATTACAAAACCACAGCGATTTATCATCGCAGGGCCAATCGAAAAGAAAGAAAGCCATAGCACCACAGCACCACCGGTAGCCACGGTGGTGCCAAATCTTTGATCTTTGTTTTTTTTTTCGTTTTGGGGATTGTTAAATTGTTAAATTGTTGAATTGTTGCATTGCTGGATTGTTTTAAGTTCGAGCTCTGACTCTGTTTCACTGGTAGTAGCAACAAATTAATAAATTGTTTAACATTTCAAAACTAATTGATTTTTCCCTAGCTCCCTCTCCTTCCCTCTGTCTCTGTCTCTCTCTTTCTGTCTTTTGCTTTTCTCACTCGGCTTTTATTGAACAGCTTCTGCAGTTTTTTTTAAGGGAACCCGTTTCTTATAATTAAGTTTTATTGTTGCGTGTGTTGAAAGATTAATAGTCGACTTCTGTTTTTATTATTTTTTGTTTCCACTTGCTTAATACGCATGTGAATTTTGGAAACCCGAACCACTAAACAGTGGGCGTTCCACACTTGAAGATTTCTTTGCTTTCGCAGGGTTTTGTTTTTCTTTCTTTTCTTCTTTTTCATTTATAATTATTTTTAGGTGTGTTTCTTATGAGCTTTGTGGCTTTTATAAGCGTGCTTGAAACTTTAAGCCTTTTTGGCAAATCCTATTTTAAAGATTTGCATTGATTAGTTGTACAGGTGCATGGGTGTGGCTTGAGCCATCTTATAATAGGTTTATGAAATTGTATGCAAATTGAAAAGTATATTTAATGGAAGTTGACATCATTTTAAAATAGTTTATAACAAAAGAAAAAGCAGTAAAATCAGGAATCTAATATTTTGGAACTTGACAAAGTATTTAATAATAATAAGAAAATGATGATGAATGATCAGTAAATATTTCTTTTTATTTTTTAACATTTAGTGTGAGATCTTATTAAATATAAAATATATATTGGGGGTGAACGAAAAATACTTCCTTTAGTATATTACGCATATTTATATTCATTTTTTAAAGCTTAATCTGATCAGAGACAGATACCATCTTACTTAGTAGAGCTCTTGCCAGTTCCTTGTTTCCCATGATATCCGAGCCAGAACTATCCTTGTTTCCACAGCTTTCTTTTGCTGTCCATAATCAGCTGTAGTCAATGAACAGCTCTACAAAGCACTCTCACTTCCTGTCTTAGATCCTTAGGCAATGGTCTCATTTATCAAGCAACTTATATCAAAGTGGCCTAATCCACTAAATCAATTAATAATTTCTCACTGAACAGACCGGAAAAGATTACAACGTTGACCGCAACCACAATATGCACCTCTATCTACGAGCTCTTCCTGTGCCACACACACACGCACACACATACATGAGATCGCTCGCGGTTGATCAAGGACGATCGATTTAATTGAAGGCGGTGCGGAAACCCGGCAAAGTATTTCCGCTGCCAGGACGAAGCCAGGCTCAAGCCAACAATTGATTGTATGTGTGTGCTTAAAAGAAACAGAGACTGCAGGCAACTCGTTATGAAAAATGATCTTGTGATCTTGTTGAATAATTCCGAAGTTCTTTGAAGTGAACCCTAGCCAAGCCTAATGTCAGTTTATTGTGTAATGAGCTCTCCAAATAATTTGGCATGCCCTCCAACTGTAACCGACTCCCAACCACCGAGCGCGGCGATCGCTGCCACACGCCGCGCTTCATGCCCGATTTGAGAGCAAGGCGGCATTTACTTTCGTAAACAGATGCCGAAGTTAATTGGCGCACTCCTCCATGGCGCGACATCGGCTCACCCTTGCTCGCTGACAACTTGCCGATCGTCATCTTCTTGTGTAATTTGATATATTGTGTCACTTGTCAACTGTGGTGACTTTTACGAGCTGCCTGCGGCAACGCCTTCTCCTCGCCAGCTTCAGCGAACGGCTTCGTCGATTCATCTGTGGTGCGATCGTCGGCGGCTGCTTTTGACAGATTTGTTGCGCTCCCTGACGTTTCAATTAATATGCAATGGCGCGCAGTGAACGTCGACACTCCCACTCCCATTCGAATTCCCATTCCCACTCCCGTTCCCCTTTCTCCTTTCCCATTACCATTTTCCATTCAAATTCCCATTCTCATGCGATCGGTAGCTGAGGGGATCTCACACAATTCTGCGATCCACCACCACGTCGGTGGCCCCATCGAATATGATTTAGTAACTTTTCTTCCAAATATCCCATTCAGCAGCGCTGAGCGTACAAAATTTTATGACTTCTTACAAGGCGTTTATAATTTTTGGTAGCCTTTTAATAAACTCTGTCTCTCTTTGCGCAGGCCGGGACTCGGACATCAGTGACACCGAATCGGAGCCGGGTATTCCTCTCAAACGCAAACAGCGACGCTCCCGCACCACATTCACCGCCGAGCAGCTGGAAGCTCTCGAGCGCGCCTTCTCACGCACCCAATACCCGGATGTGTACACCCGTGAGGAGCTCGCTCAGACCACCAGCTTGACGGAGGCGCGCATCCAGGTCTGGTTCTCCAATCGTCGTGCGCGTCTGCGCAAACATTCAGGCGGCTCGGGGTCTGGGCTGTCGCCCATGAATGGCAGCGGTGCAGGCGTTGGCGTGGGTGTCGCTCCCAGCGGTGCAGCTGCACCACTCGGCTTTGGTCCACTGGGCGTAGGCTCTATGGCTGGCTACAGTCCCGCCGCAGGCACCACGGCCAGCGGAGCACCGGGCATGACCGACAGCTCTCACCACCACCACAGCACCGCCCATGCTCCCAGCTCCCACAGCGCAGCAGCAGCTGCAGCGGCGGCTCATCATCACACACAAATGGGCGGATACGATCTGGTACAGAGCGCGGCGCAGCACGGCTTCCCGGGCAGCTTTGCACAGCACGGGCACTTCGGCGGGCAGAACTATTATCATCAAGGTGGGTACACGATAATTAAGAGGCAATCCTTATTCGAACTTCAAGAAACTACCTAATTCCCTTTATTTAGTAATCTCTTTAACAACTGATTTACAATATTTAATTCTCTTTTATTATTGTTTTTATTTAATGATTTCATTGGCTCAAATCATAGCTCTACTACCTCAAAGATCCGTCACTTTCTTTCCATGTTTTTACATCTGCTTCCCATCTCCACCTATTCAATTTCTCTCGAATTTCGTCGATCATCCTCCATTTTATTTCATCTGTCAATGTTAATTTGTTTGTTTCTTATACTCAAAAACTATATATCGACACCCACTTGGAGTATAGCAAATGGAAAAAACTACGCTCTACAGCTTGACATTTATTAATCTAACAAATATGAATGCCTCTTCGGGCATATTAAATCGAAAAAACTATATCTTCGACAGTTTTTTGGGTAGAGTTACATAGTTGACAGTTAAAATTTTAATAATATTATACAAGACAAATAGAAATAAACTATATATTCCAGCATTTTTAAGCCGAAATTACCTAAGTTTAAAGGTAAATCATCTTCTCTGCAGATAGACCTATAAACGACTTGGCAATTAAAAAATATATATATTTTTTTAATACATTTAATTTCCCTTGATTCCATTCCACCGTCTGTTTATCTGTTTTCTCTTAGCTCTTTATCCATTTGTCAGCATTTATACGTTTAAACGTAGATCTCTATAGATCCTTAACCTCAGTCAATTATTATTTGACTCTGTCCCTCTTTCTTTCTGATTCTTACTCTCTTCTATTTTGTCTGCCTATTTCGTGCTCAACATCTTGAGCATCCTTTTATTATTATAAAACTCAATACCTTGCATCATATCATATCTTGTTTTATTAGTTTCTGCCTTGTCCCTTATCATTCAACTCTTTCTTTTTTTATTTTTTTCCATATCCTATTTTATGTATATCTCATTCTTCATAACTATAACTAAAATCCTTCTACTTCTCCCAGCCAGATGTTCTTTTTCATTTTCATACAACTCCCTCATCTAGTCCTTCAATATTTCTATCACTCCGCTTTCTTTTAGCTCTATTTGATTTCTCACTTCCCCTCATCTCATCTCTCCCTTCCTCACATCTTGTTCTAATTCTCTAAACTTACGCCAATTCTCTTCAATTTTAGACTACTCCAAGCTGACCATTGACGACTTCTCGAAGCTAACCGCGGATAGTGTGTCAAAGATCTCGCCATCCTTGCATCTGAGCGATAATTATGCGAAGCTGGAGTCGCCCTCCAACTGGTCACAGGCTGCCTACCACCTCAACCAGTCGGCGGTGGCGGCGGCCAATTACAACGCGGCGGCTGCCCACCATGCGGTCGCCCAGCATCAGTTGACTGACTATGCGGCTGCAGCGGTTCACGGCAATGTGGCTGCCGCCTACAACCATCCACTGCCCGCCCAGGGCCAGACGGCCAAGTACTGGTCATGAATTAATAAACTAAGCGCCCCTCGCACACCTTAAACCGTTTGGAGCTTCAGTTAGTTGTAGAATATTAAAACTTGATTACAATTATCAGCAGAGGCACATGTAAATCTTAGACACTTACCTATTTATTCCAGCGATATGCAAATCAACATCTTAGCTATAGCATTAGAATTTAATAATATATTAAATTGCATATAAATTACACGGCTATTAGACGCGACGTGTTTCTACTTTGATTAAGTACGTATTTATTTTTTAACCTAAGATACGAAAAAGCGATATTATATATAAAAAATATAGTTATAAAATATAAAGAATATCAAATGTGGTTTTATTTGGGCTTATGTGGGCAAAAGAGAGACATGTAGGAAGGCTTATGAAACTTTAAAGATTATTATATAAGAGCTTGTAAAATATTTTAAATTCCCTTTAAAAGATTAAGGGTAATACTTACTTACTCCAGTACCAAAATCGTATAAATTGGGCTCATTAAAAATAATGCTAATATAATGGTTTGTGAAAATAAGTAAGAAAAAAGGCATGGCTGAACCAGCTATCTCCTAGTCGAGCTATCTTGACTAGAGCACTCACTATTATTATTTATCCAAACAAAATTTAAAAGATAAATGATGAATGATACGAAAATATGATGACTAGAAATGCTGTTAGTAGCCAGACTTTCTCCAAAACAGGCTTTTAAGCTTACCAACACCTACACAGTGTCCCCATAAATAAAAAAAATATATTATATGATGTTTGCCTCTTAAATAATATAAAAAACTTAATCAATTTATTTTAATAAAGTATAGAAAATAGTTTCTGAAAATGTAATATTATAAGCCCACATTTAAGCACCTGGCCGACCTATGAAATAAAACAATTTTCTTTCATTGGGTTAGGAGCAAACCGTTAATAAGTATGTATTGTATGTATATATATTTTGGAAAGTATTATTTGATTCTTCTAGTTATTCGTTTGAAGTAAGTTTTTCGTATATTTAATTAAATAGTTCTGTATATAGATATAACATATTGTTAAGTATTGTTATTTTTACAGCGCCTTTGTTCGCCTTGAGCAATTCGTCGAGATAAATACATACATAGATAATCGAAGTAAGTATGTATACATATATAATCATCGTATAAGTATATATTTTAGTATATTTAAATATATTTTCTTGCATTTCGAATACTTTAAGTTGGAAATAAATATGTAAGTTAATTATTGACAACATCAGACTTATAATTACGCACATTGAATATGTTTTTTTATTTGGGGTTTTATAATCAATTTCTCTTGGGGTAGTATTCAAATAAACATTTAAAAATGATTGAATACAATATTTAATATATTTCAATATTTATTTTGTTCGCATGTTATTGTCCTTTCATTTATTGTCGGGTTTGCTGTATCCTTAATTATTGTCCTTGACGCAGTAAACATTCCATCGGTGTATACGATTACTTATATCTTGATTTATATAGGTATGTGTATATATATGTATATATAATTTATGCCACAACTTAGGCTAGAACATTGCACTAACTGGGTAGGAATTTCCTTTACTTTATTATCAATAATTATTGTCATATATTTATATATCGACACGCATAACAAACGTATAGGAAGTAATACAATCTGTAGGGAGTTTTGGGAACTAGCAAAAAATAAGATTAGCTGGGCCTTCTTGTTTCGGGGGTTTCATTAAAATTCAACACTTTCTGCTAAGGTACGGCATTGGCACTAAATTTGTTATTGTTTTTTGTTTGTTTTTTTTTTCTTTTCTTTTCAGAGATAATCGAAAGTTTCAAGACGATATGGTTTAGTTGTGATATTAAACGTTTCTATGCTTTGCACTGGCATCAGTTACCTCAATTATACATAGATAAATAAATAATTCGATATATATATATATATTGATACAGATACGTATTCGAGTGGCACCGAACTACGGCAAACTTTGAGATACAGATACATTTGCGCTGCGTAGCTACGTGTGCTGCAGGTGTGTGTGTGACGGTGTTAAAGAACTACTACATCGAAAATACTGCATAACACATTTATATATATATATATAGAAATATTTATATATATATGTATGTATACGATATTGTTATTGTTATTGTTATTGTTATTTTTAGGATTATATTGTCGCGATATCTATATAGAGTTTAGTATTCGTAATTGTCCATGGACTCACCGTTGCGTCGATAGACGCCCCGTTGCAATGCTGTAATACGCGGAGGTGTGCCCCACGAATGGAAGGGATAGACCCGGCTTTTGATAGGACCACTCGGCAGCGAGTTGGTGGAAATGCTGCGTATGCGTGCAGCGTTTGCTGCCGAAGATCTGGCTGTTTCGATGGGATCCACATAGAATTTGGACAGACTACCGCGTATGCCAGCACCACTCCAGTTCATCATCGGTCGATTGGGTAGGAAACAACGTTTACAAACGGCTGCGATTGGTTGACGCAGTCGCTCGTGTTGGGGGTAGTACTCGACCTGCAGTTACCAAAAGAAGAAAACAAAACACACACGCACCCATACATTAGTTCTCTAGTTTTCACACTCACTAAACAATTCAACAGCTGTACAATAACTATGTATGTATTAGAAAACTCTGGATCGCTGTGTTGTACCGGAACACATGCAACTATATGAGATACTTCAACCATCCTACACGTAGAATACTGCAAGAGCACTAAATTCAACTAAAGCAAATAAAACAAGACAGTGTAAACATAGACCAAGTCAAAACATGCCAATGGGTTGACCTTTTAGAAACATGCCAATGAGCCAAAAACAAGCTTTACACACTTAAGTACAATCAAGAAAAGAAACACTTATAATTTTTTTAAAAATTAAATTAAAACATATAGAAAGTATTAAATTTTTATAAGTAGCAGATTACATAGAATTTTCAAAAATATATATATAATTTTTATTTAATTTTCCATACGAAATTTCCTTTCTCAGCAGCTCAAAAGTCGGCAATAGTTTTGCTACCCAAATTCTATTTTTATATTTCGCCTTCCGCTCAAAAGTATGCTACAAATTTAATGCTACATAGTGTTCCTGAGAACAGTTTGGCTACTTACATTTTCACAAGTGTCAAAATAAAAACAAAAACTCCTAAAAAACTTTTTGAATTATCACATTTAAATGCCAAATGCGTGGCAATTGAAATAAAGCAAGCGGAAAAGTTCTGCCACAGCAAATAAAGTGCAGTAAAATCAACTGCCGAGGGGAGAAGGAGGGGCAGGCACATGGCCTTGGTGGTAGGCAAACAAAATGCCGGAAATTAGACGATTATCCGTAACACGCAATGTTGGAGGGTATAGGCAGAGTGCAGAGCTGGGCAATAATATGTGCGCAGATTTGCCAAGCATACGGAAAATTGAATTTCCGGTTGGCAGTCAATTGGACAAACCGTTTGAAAATGAACAGAAATCGTATTTCGAACACGAATGTGTTAAGGGAAACATGAACATGAATTGAATATCGACAATACAATATAAATTCACAATAGAAGGGAAATTCCTAATGCAATGGCGCGAATAGCCGCTGCTCAGTTCCTCAAATCATTCCTAAAGAAAAGGGCAGAACGACTATTTTAAGAACTTTTGACACCTAGAAACTGGAGGCAAGCTAAAGCTTTCTTTAGGCAAGTCGTGTTAGTCTATGTTTAGCTTGCATAAGTCAAATAGAATTACGTTAGATTTACATTGATAGACATTAGAGGCCATGTGAGGCTATGGGGGGTTAACTTAGGTATCCTTCGATTGCATTAGATTGTGTTGTCGAGTTAGTTCTGGTTATGTTAGGTGAGGTAGTTCCATGTTGTGTTAGCTCCTTGTCTAGTTATATTATGTGCCATGTAACCTTAATTCAACTCAGTTCAAGACACACAAAACTCATTATTATCCTCTTTTCATGAAGTACTATCTAGGCCTTACTTTGAAAAACTTTCTAACGAGGCAAGTATTTCCAGGCACCCAATCTGCATCAACATAAGCTCTTCATGCTTCATACAGTTACTAACGTTAAAAAAGAAGTTACAGAAAGATTATAAAAAGTCTCGATGCTTTAGCAGACCAACAAATTATAAGCCCTTCTGCTAACATAGCAATAGTAGAATCAGGCATTTACTAGCACTAGAGTTACAACTAAAGATATCACACAGATAACCGGCTCGATCAAAAGAAATAGCTAAAACGATCGACTCTACTGCAATATCTAATCTGTAGATAAATACAGAGACAGGCATATGAGAGAGAGAAAGAGAAGATCAAAAACAAAAAAAATTGAGAAAACGATCAGAAATGGAAATTAAAAAGCTATACACATCGAACCATCTCCATTTACTCATACAAGTTGCCTGGCACGTCCCGAGCGACTAAAGCGACCGCCCGCACCGCCAAAGCCGCTGGCGGTGCTGCCGGTGGGGCTGCGCAAATAACGGTAACTGGGCAGAAAGCCGGAACGATAGACGGCGCCAATGTGACGCTTCTGCGGCATTGCCTGCAGTTGCTGCTGTTGATCCTCCTCCAGCTCCTCAGCAAAGACAGCGGCATCGCCATCAGTTGCCTCATTGCCATGCTCAATGCCAAACAATTCGGGATCCTTGGAAGTGTCTTTGGTAGTGATAGGTTGGTATATATATATATTTACAAATAGTGCTTGAGAAGGTACTGCATAGCCACTAACTAGGTGCAGTTGTGCTAGTGAATGAACAGGACTGGGGAAGCTATCTGCGACAAGCCGCAGAGTCGAGTTCATAATCTTGCAGATGAGACTTAAGTAAATATATACTGATCAGTCTAAAGGAAGAAGCCATGGGATAATAATATCAATTTCATATGATTGATATTGCTTCAAAATACTTAAACTTTTGTGTCTTGTGAGCTAAATAAAAACGTTTCAGTTTCAACTCAAATGGATATTTGAAAAGAGGAATGATCTTAAAAAAATATTTACTGCAATGCTTCTAGCTCATACTGGAAGCATATACAAATTAAGAGCTGATAAGCATAAAGCAAAAAGGATTTAATTCAAGTCCTTTGGATACATAAGTAAATATGTAATACAGCTTTAAACCGAATCCGGCCAATAAACCAAAATGAACTGGACTTTGTTTCTCTTCATTCTTAGCGGACATTTCAAATTGCATACTAAAATGCATCTTCTGCAAGTTTATCAGCAACTTCTATGGATAGAGCAATCCCAGTGTTAAGCGACCACTACTTACCAAGGAAACGCTTCTCGGCACGTCGATAGTCATTCCAATCGAGATCGGCATAGCCAGCATAGCTGGGATACCACCAATAGTTTTGCATGGAGTCGGCATAGTCCGGAGCAGCGACGGCGGGCAGAAGCATCTCCTCGTCCTCACGCTTCTGCTGCACGCCATGAACTGGAGACGACTTCAAAGCGCCCAGATTACGCTTCTCGCCGCTGTTGCGCTGATTCTGATGCTGCTGCGAGTTGTAGCGCGCCACGGCGGCAACATTCCGCTTAGGCTGCTCCCGATGGGTGCTGGGCGCGCTCTGTAGCCGGGCCATGGTGGCGATGTTGCGCTTGCCATTGGGCAACTGGAAATCACGCGCCAGGGTGCCCACATTTCGCTTGCCAAAGCTCATAAGTCCACCAGCACGAGCAAGGGAGCCAATGTAACGCTTCTGCTCGCTGGGCTCCCCAGACTCAGCATCAGCATAATCGTCGCCGGGCTCGGCCGTGGGCAGTTGTCCGTTCTTGGCCAATGTGGCCAGACTGCGCTTGGGTGCATTCAGCAGTCCCTGTGCTGCCAGAGCAGCTACGGAACGCTTGTCCTCGTCCAAGTAGTCAGCATAGTCGCCCTGCTGCTGCTGCTCCTCGCGTTCGCGCAACAGATTCTTAAGCTGATTGCGCAAGGCGGAAGCCTGTTCGAGTAGGGCATGAAGTGAGTCAAGAGAGAGAGAGAGAGACAGAGAGTTAGAAAGAAAGATAGTAGAGGGGACAGTGAAAAACGAAAATAAAACGAAGTAAAAATAGATTTAAAATGATGGAATAAGGCAATAGTAGACAGAGGGTGGAGAAAATGGTTAGAAAAGTGGTTTGAGGAGAGGCAAGGAATGAGTGAATACGTGTAGAAGATTTAAGAGAAGACAATGAATTTATTAGAGGAGGGAGAGCATTAGGCAGATTGATGAGAGAACAGAAAGGGAATAAAGAGATGATAAAGAGATTGAGTCTTAAATGCCAATTTCAGCTTAAAGCCCGCACAGCGGTTGCCTGCATTGACTGAGTTGGGGGAGGTAATCCTTTAGGTAGCTTACGTGTAGCTGATACTCCGGACTGGGATTCATGAGTTGATTTATTATGGTCTCCATTTCACAGGGTGACACGTTGCCAATATCCTCGGTAGCATTCACAGGAAAAGCACGCGGCTGAACGGCCTGCAAAATGGAAAAGAATTTTTGAGCCGAGTGAAAAATTTGCTTGCATCAAGTCGAGAGACGTTTCAATTAGCTGACGGTGCAGGGCTCGCCCCGAACTCGCTTAATTGCCGCAATTATTTACAGTAAATTAATTTTGAAATGTGTCGATGTTTGCCGCCTTTGCAAGCGCCTCTACTTCCTTCCTGACAGACTGCCGACAGCATTGCGAAAGCCTGTGGCTCCAGTTGGCAGTTAGCAGCTCTGGCAAATTTATTGCTTTATTTGTTGCATACTTTCGAGCGTCATTTATCAGCATCTCAGGCGCAACACATTAACGCAAATTTGCGCATATTTATTTAATGCCAGCCACTTACATAACTGTCAAACTGTTGCGCAAAGCTGCTCAGAGCATACTTCGATGCGGAAGTATGTCGAGAAAATCCTTTCACTTCAAGTTTCTCAATCCGGCATTTCTTTAAACTAGTTTCCAGAACACAGCACAGCCGTTTTATAACTTTATATTTGAAACCAGCTTTTAATATTTCATATAGCTTATGAAGTAGTTTCGCTTACTGTCAAGAAATTTTCTTGGAAAAACTTTATTAACGGCCTTAGTAAGAAAAATATTTTATTAAATAGAAGTTTGTATTTAACACAGCTTACTCTATAGCTTACCTTGCCTCACGGCTATAAATTGTGTAAAAGAAAAACATTTTTAGACATTAAGTGTTCACTTTATATAGGAATTTTATATAGAATACATGCATACATATATGATACTAGTGTTTATTGTCAACTTCAGTTCACAGCTAATCCGACTTAGTAACCGGACAGCAAATACCATAAGCGCTCTCGACGTGTCATATTTTTTTTTTGTCTACTCACATCAACAGCAAAAAAGTACACTTTACGCATATGCTGGAAAACTTAAGCTGAACTCATAATATTTAGCTTTTAATATACACAGCACAGCAGCAGGTAGAAGGCAGTAGACACAAGACCAAATGGTGAATGGTGCTTCAAGCGAAAGGATAACACCAAGCAGCTAAACAAAATGACAGAGAGCGCCTCCTGCATGGCTGTCTGTCGGTTAGTGTGCGTGTTGTTTCCTGTCTCTACGAGACAATACACTTGGCTTTTAATAAACCAACGGCTGGGTGGAGGGGCAAAAGCAGCGGCTGCTCTACGGCAACAGGATGTGCCGTAGAATGTGTTTGCCAACGGCGCAAACGTCCGTAGTGCAAACGCCGTAAATCTCAAACAGAAATTGACAACTACTTATGGGCACTCATGTGTGTTTGTGTGTGTGTGTGTGTGTGTGTGTGTGTGTGTGTGTGTGTGTGTGTGTGTGTGTGTGTGTGTGTGTGTGTATGTGTTTGCATTGTATTATTGGGCTGCCTGCTTAGAAGTCAAATCTTATCCCATATTAGCACAAGAAATAACGCCTTGCAGGTGTTTGCTACATCAACTGAATGATATCCTGCGGGTGTTTCGTTTATTTGATAAGCTTCAAGGTTTTGCTATATATAGTTGTGCCTAATGAGAAGTTAAGAGCAACTAGTTAGAGCTCGAGATGAACAACTATTGACATTTAAGCATAAACAGCGCGGCAAAGATAAGATCAGATTTATCTCAAACAATTATTAATTTTCGTATTTATTTTTTCTCATCAAGCTACTCTCTACTCTCTAGCCAAATTTACTCAACTAATCAGCAGTAAGAGTAATATTCAATTACAAAGTGAGTCGACTTAAAATAAATCTATAAATTTGAATACTATACGATTTCATTTCAATAAGAATTTATGGCAAAGAACTCATTTTTATCTGTAATTTCACAAACATTTACCAAGCACGCCACAAATATAAATTTTCATTGTATTTGTAAAGCTCATTTAACTGAAAATTAATATTCACGCAGCCCAAAACAAAAATAAATGTAAAACCAATCGAGATTTTTTTTTGTTGATTTTGCACTCAATGGAAATTGGGGATTTTTTGTCATTTGCGAATGCATGAAAATGTTGTTAAGCGATTGTATTTAATCTTAAATATGCATGCGAATACCATAAATCGTTGCATGACAAAGCGAAAAGTGGGCAAAACTCTGTTGCATACTTTCGAGCGGGATGCCCTTTGTGTGTACTTATTCATGTGAGCTGCGCAGATTGCGATAGCAAACAAACAACGGCAACGACAACAACAACAATAACAACAACTGCGTGTTCAGTCTTCCTCTCACTGGCTGCCTTTCTCCCTGTCTCTCGCTGTCTCTGTCTTTTCACATAAAACTGCCAATTCATGGCAGCAACTCACGAGCGCCCCAAAGCATGCAACAAAAATTTAATTTCAAAATTCAAGCAACCAAATTCCACAAAACACTTCAGTTTTTTGTCTGCCAAGAAATAGTAGCGCGTCACAGCTAGTCTCAAGCCCAAAATAAACAAGGGCGCTGAGGCGTGGCAAGTGTCGCATATTTTACTTATTTTCCTCGACTATCGCAAACATGTGCTTGTCGCAGCAAATGAAGCGCGCAGCTTTTCCAGACCCCAAAAATGTGCGCTGACAAAATTGTTCGCCTCTCTACTTTGTCGAGTTTTTGTGCATAACGAGAGCTATATCACATAGAGAACGGACGAAGATGGCTCAAAGGGAAAATTTGGCAGGTAAAGACATTGCTGCTTGGAATATTTTAAATTTATGAGTGAAGATAAAGATAATAAAAGTATTTTTGTCTGATATTTGCTTTAAAGCGAAACTTATTCTTGGAAGCATGAAAATATGTATATATAGTTAAAAATTGAAAAATATTTTTAATTAAATTAAAAAAGAAAAGAAAAATCAATTTTTAAAATGAATAGTTATCAAAATTTAAAATATTATATTCTTAAATTTAAAAAAATAGAAAAATTGATTCTTAAAATTTAATAGCTCTCAAAAATTAAAAAAGTTAAATATATTTAGTAAAGTCTCAATCAAATATTGAATATTGCAATTCTGAAATTCATAATGAAATTGAATTATGATTTTATGCAAAGCTTTTCAAATTTATTTCAACTATTTTCAACACATTTTCAGCTGTTGATGCTAAAGCCTTTATGCAGCTATAATTAAATTTTCGCTTATCCACTTTATGGTTTAAGTTTTATGCTGATTGTGCGACAAATTTTATTATTTAATTTGCAGGAGCGTAATTAACAGCTGAACCCCTTCACAATTGAAAGTGTCAAATGCAGACCGCGTCCGGTGGCGCAATGAAAATTCAATTAAAATGCAAAATAAAACAACAGCAAAATGAAAAACGTCAATTAAAATAACCGTTAACTGAATGGCTGACAGGACCTGCCAACGCACAGGACAACCCATAACAATTGAGCTCTTTAACTACTTCGATACGTCTCAATTCGATTTGTATCCTTAGCTAATTGAACGTAATATTGTATTATTCCAGTTCTGAGGTACGCGATATCCAAGCGTTTAATCAGCTTTGTGGCCAAGGATTCATTGGCCACGCCCAGCTTAACTGTTCGCCCACTTTACAGACAGCCTGGGTGCTCGGCTGTTGTAGGCAACAGCCTCTGTCCTCGCCTGTTGAGCCGCTTATGTCCTGCCACACGCAAATTTTATTATCGCCCAAGCCGGGACATGCCTTGAGCATTATTTTTTGTGTGCCTGTTACTGTTGCCATTGTGGTTATACTCTAGCATAGAGTATGATAGCCTTGTAACAGAGTTTGTAACGCAATAATGGAGACAACCAATTTGTAGTATTATAAGAAATAAGATTTATTCAGGAAAAAAGCAAGGCGAGAAGACAAAAGAGCTTTTAGTTTTGGAAAACATTCTTGTAAGGGTATTTAGTTCTCGGCAAGGCATAGAAAAATGCTCAACTTCCTCTGTCTGTTCTTGCGCACTTTTTTGGGCGCAATGTAATGAAGCATTTTGTTGCTATTTTCGCTTGGCATTTCTTTTACTTAAGTAAATATTGTGCGTAGCATTAAAACTTAAGTGCTTTGACCTTCACGGGATTGTTCTTGAGGTTGGCCACATATATCTAATGGAACTTTTGTTTTGGACAAGAGTCTTATGAAAAGGTCCACTGATTATGACAATGATTAAATTACGCTTATTTGCTTTGAAGTTTTTATTTGTTGATTGTCTTGTTGGGCGTATGCTAATAGAATATTAGCATCGGACTCTGAAAGGGTCTTCTTCTTGAAGACCACTTTGAATTTTTCAGAAAGAGTACACAGTAATGTGGGCGATGTACTTCGTGCAGTCCTCAGAATAATATTTTACCATTATGTCCGCTTGACAATAAAAAGCAAAAGCGTCCATTAAACAATTTGTGACATGCCAGAGGACATTATCTATGTCCGTTGCCCACACGCTCACACACACAGCTTTAATTGTAATTACCTCTCTCTCGCTTTATTTGCCACTCTCTGTCGCTTTGTGATGCGCCTTTCATAAAACCCAACAATTCATAATGGAATACACAATACCTACATGGCCAGCACCATTTAAGGTAGCCGGACTTTATATGTAACGCTATAGTTGTGGAGGTGTTGTGTGTGGGCGTACCGACAATTACACAAACTATTCGAAATGCCAAAGTGGAAAAAGACAGCAATTTCTTAGCGTCACTAAGTGAGTGTCTTCATATGGCGAAAGGCCTACGCACCGCATAAGTGATTGATTGACAATAATACACTGAGAGAAAAATTCTTATGCAGGCTGATATAAGCTATATTTGTAAAAAACTTAAGTCGATTTGTTAAAGTTTTAATAATACGTTTCAAGCCACGAATTAAAGAATTACAATATGCTTGGGTTATACATATAATCAGAAACTTTGGACTGCAGACGAAATTAAATGGAATTTTATTTTTTTTTCTAAGATGCAACTTCTATTGAAACGATTAAATCGAATTTATCATCCAGACATGTTTTTCCAAGTGCGTCAAAGCTGTTGTGTTGGCTTTTCACGTTTCGGCTTTCTGCTAAATCAAAGCACAAC